CAGAAGGAGCTAAGTTTATTTTAGCAAATCAAGATATAGGTATATGTCTTTTTAAACGCCAGAAGCTGATAAAAATAGCAAGCGATACGACAACCGATAAGATATTCATGAGCTGCCAACCTAATGTGAAGAATAAGACACCGGCTCCAAGGCTGCCCATTCCGCCAAAAAAGTAGATAAGAAAATCGGTCATTCCTTGTACCTTAGCACGTTCGTGTGGTTCATAACTATGCGGTAATAGATTTGTGGTACTAATTAAAATGAAATTCCATGCCACACCAACAAAAATACCCGCAAATAAATAGTTATAAAAATGGTTACCAAGCAGATTCATCACGGCAGATAAAATCAACAAGATGATCCCGCAGAAAATAATGCGTTTTGCCCCTAAATGATGGATTAATGTTCCAGTAAAAAATGAAGGGGCGAACATACCTAACACATGGAACTGAAATACAATTGCAATTGAAGAAAATGCAAATTCATGTTGTTTCATCGACAGTGGGATGGATGCGAAAGTAAACACCACAATGGCGTAACCGGCTGCACTGACAATTGCAATAAGCTTTAATATTGGTTGTGAATACAACGTGTTATAGCCACGTTTTACCAAGTTATCATCAGCAGGTGTTTTCACGACCTTTTTCAATGGCACAATCAGTAATAAAATAAACGCAATAATATAAATTACGGCTAGTGTGACAAACGGTCCTGCGAAAGGATATTCTGTAAAAAATCGTTGGGTAGTTATTGCCAGCGTTGGGCCGATCAATGCTGCTGCGATACCCCCACTCATCACCAACCCGATAGCTTTAGCGCGCAATGATACTGGCGCTTCTTCGATAGCGGCGAATGCGAAATTGCCTGTGCGGTACCAATGGCAATACCAGTAAAAACAGCCCAATTGAAAAGTAAATCAAACTTACTTCCAAAAATACCACATAGAAAAGCCGCACCGGATAGCCGTCCAGCAATATTACCAAGATAAATCCAACCCTTCTTGAATAACTTGCATTAAAAAGGCGATAGGGACTAGTTTGCTAGATCAAAGCAATGTAAACTGACAAGTCAATGGGATGTGCATGAAGTGGGTCCGTTGCCCAGTTTTTTCTCCGAAAACGACAGCTTCACGGAGAGTACTAATGGCATCCCTGTAATAAACAATGCAGTGCGGTAGTTTATACCACCAACGGATCTTGGCATAAGAGGCCTCTATCTATTAAAAGTAATAAATAAATGGTTTTGTATTATTCCAGAGGGGAAGCCCTAAGGAATATGATAGAAGAATACAACTTCAAGTGACTTTAAGTCAAGTAAAAAGCGCACAAATATTTTACTGAAGTTTTAATTTTAATTTTTATTAAATCCAGTGTATATTCTGAATGGAAAGAGGTGTGACAAATATCTCATTTAAGATGAATGGCAAATAAAATAAGAAATAATGATTGTCATGACCAAAAAATTATGTTTTCTTAAAGAAAGAAAGTGAAAAACAATAATCAATAAATTAAACAGGAAAATCCCGTGAACATGACTTTTAATCACTCAAACCTACTACTAACCGCGCCACGTGCTGCGGTGGTCGTGCGTGTGGTGGTGGTCGTGGGCTTAGCGCCGTAACGGGTACAAATCAACGCAGATTTAGAAACCCCGCCGGCGCAAACCGAGCGGGGTTTTTTATCACCTCTCGCTCGGATCCGCAGGCTAGCAAAGGATAAATATGATGAGCGGATCGGGAACAATATCACCACACAAAACCCGTTATACTGGGGCTGAGTTAATCGTACATTTACTGGAAAAACATGGTATTACCATCGTCTCAGGCATTCCTGGGGGAGCTGCTTTACCCTTTTATGATGCATTAGGGCAAAGCAAGAAAATTCGCCACATATTGGCTCGTCACGAGCAAGGTGCTGGCTTTATTGCTCAAGGCATTGCTCGGACAACAGGGAAGGCCGCTGTGTGTATATCTTCCA